TACGTTACCGGAAATGACGAATACGCTCGTATGCTTCGGAGAGCGATGATGCGCTACTTAAACCTTTCGTTGATACTTGTTTTACGTTCGATCAGTTCGGCAGTGAAAAAACGATTCCCGACACTCGATCACGTCGTTGATTCTGGTAAAAGTTTTTCTTTTAACGTGAACTAATACTAATTTTAACCCACGTAGTATGTATTCCCCCGAAAAGCATACATATACATTCACTCACTCTGAAGAAAAGACTAACAAGGTACAAACCACGATGAAATGACGGAAATTAATAACAGAAAGTCATTACCAACGAGAATAGAAATTCATTATTGTTGAATTTGGATTAAAAAAAATTATTCGATCGCAGGTGAATCTCTTTCTTTTGATTAAATATATGTGTTTACAATTGTTTAAAAATTATTCTCATAAAAGATTAACTAGAAAATTTCGCATACTTCCTGCAAATTCTGACAATTTACGATGAATTTTTAATATTAATGATAACATTAATCAATCATCAATGTTATACCAATAGTGCAAATATGATATCGTAGGTTTCATGACAGCACTTGAATTGGATTTGTTTTTGGCAGTGCCGAGCATAGAATTTAACACCTATTGGATCCCTTGCACATGGTTTATCAATCTTCTAAAAGAAGCACGCCAAAATCACAGGATTCCCGATCCTCAAGGATTAAAATTAATTATGGAGGTATCGTGCAGTTCCTGTCAATAAATCAAATAGAATTGTTGAAGATCTATTTAACCATTGAAAAATAAAAATTATCACAGGAATTTAATGAATTTCGTACAAAATGTGGCCTTTTATGGAGCTACGATTGGATATCAATTCCATTAGTTTACACACAAGTAGTAACATTAGCAACATACAGTTTCTTCGCAGTGGCTTTAATAGCTCGCCAATACATCGACGGTAAAGAAAAACAATTCCAGTTGCAGATTGACGTCTACATACCTATTTTTACGATTCTACAATTTTTCTTTTTTATGGGCTTGTTAAAGGTGGCGTATTAAAATTGTGATCTTTGCTACAACAAGAAAGATAAGAAATTGTTAAAATATTTTATCAATTATATTTTAATAGGTGGCGGAGCAATTAATCAATCCCTTTGGTGATGATGATGAAGACTTCGAACTAAATTGGATAATTGATCGTCACACAAAAGTAATTAGAATCTGTATATATATATTTAATAATAATATTTAATATTTATTTTAAACAATCTAAAATAATTAATATCGAATATTTATTTCATGTATTTTAGGTGTCATATCTTGGAGTAGATACTCTTATGAATCGATGCCCACCATTGGTCAAAGATATTTACTTTGAAGCTGAAAATTTAATTTTACCATACACCGAAGCAGCTGCTGCTTATAAAAAGAAAACTTATCGTGGTAGCGTTGCAAACATGATGTTAGTATTCTTAAATGACTCTAAGTTCATATATCCAAATCATTGTGATAACGAGCAATTTCAAAATCCATATTCGTGTCTTTAGGGTTCCTGAAGAGAAACAAACCATGTTTCTGCCAGAAGTCATAGAAGAGGAGGCAGAAGATATAAAGCCATCACACCACGCATCAACAATGAGTTTAGCTACTCACCCATCATGTGATAGCCCATCATGTGAACGACGGTAAGATTACGATGTATACTTTTGCGTAATTGGTTTACTTACTTTTCACCTTTTTAAAATGTTATTTTGGAATTTTAAAAAAGAAATAAAGAAATTGGCAGATAAATAATCAATAAATCAACATGATACTATTCGTGCTGTAAAATTATATTGATATTATAAATTAAATAAAGTTTTTGTTAAATTAGATGCATTTGTTTCAGCCAGATCAATCCATATCCTAAGACTGATCAAACTTCTCCTGAGACAATTTTACAATTTGATATTCAAGAACCTCCGGTCCCAACGGACCAAACAGGACAAAAATCAACAAGGATAATAGAAACTGTTAAGAAATTCTCATCTCTGGGAAAACATTCGTTGCAACGGATCGATACAAGCCGAAGACCATTTTTCACGTTAGCAAAAAGCCCTAAGGTTGTACAATCTTGGCCGAGTACGTCAAATTTGTCGAAACATTCGATACAAATCATAGATACACCTCCCGTATACACGGACAATGTAAACCCGTGGAAAGACTATATTTCAAGAGGTGAGCAACAATTCTCATTTGATGATAGCTCAAAACACCCTTCGCAAATGGAAGGACAATATGACCTTGAAAATGTACATCCATCGGACGATGCCAATGAAAATCCAAATGAAAGCCCTCATTCAGATACATGCCAATTACAGTGCCATCACAGTATGTACCATTTAACACTGCCAGAAACACCTTTGTCAACCCCAGTAAAAGCAATGATGCCGGAAGACAGAAAATCCATGTTTCTTGTAAAAAAACATAAATTAATGGGGTCAAATAAAAAGAAAGGTATTCAATGGAAGCAGATTGTAAAAACGGATATGCCGGTAACCGAACAAAGATTACTTTATTCGAGAAGCTCACCAAATTTGAAATTAAGAGAAAGTTCACTAGATGTGAGGAAAGACATATCTGACACAGATTCTTCAGGCAAAGAAGAATAAATTGCAATCATATATCTATGTGATAATTGTTAAATAATGTAAATAACATGTTACATAAAAGTATTTATGACGACAGTATCATAAAAATTTTATCAGATATATTTTGAATATTGAATATATTTTTTAGAAGAAATTAGAGAGTTGTTTGTAAAAATATAATTAAATCCATTAATATTAACTCTCTCAATAAAAATTAAATTATTTTTAAATTAAATTTAAAAAATTCTTAAATGATATTACCAAATGTTAGTCATTTATTAATTTTTACAGTTACGGATATTAGACTTAAAAAATTTTCTAAATGTTAAGTTTTATATTTTTATCTTGTAATACTTACCTTATCTTGCCTTACCTTTGATATGTCCTTACATCTTTACATTTGTATTTGTTAACTTCTCAGAAAACCTTTGATACCTCTTTACATCTTCACATTTGTATCAACTTTTCAGAAAACGATAGAAAACACAGAAGTAGCTCTAAAAAAGGCATTCTTTAATCAATCTTCCGCAAACATTATTTTACATATTTGGATAAATTGTATAATAGGGGTTCTTAAATGGCTTTGTATAAACATTTGGGTCATCCACTGGAAATGACTGTATAATATTTGATCCCAAATTCTTTTGATTATGTACGTTTGCGATCATATACTGTGGCGTGGGCGTAACTTGCCCAACAGTTGCATCCTCTACTAGTTTCCTGTGTGAATAAATCAAAACCTGCGGAACATCTACTTCTTGTTGTGATACAGTATTTTCCACAGAAACTGCAAATCCAGGATTAGATAGCTGCTGTGCCTTGCACTTCTTTCTATGTGCATAAAGTGATCCAGCATTATTATATCTCTTTGTACAAATTTTACACGCATATGGTCTTTGTCCAGTGTGTGTGTAAGTGTGTTCATTTAACGAAGTCAGTCTTCTAAATGATTTTGTACAAATCTGACAATGATATTTCGCTTCTCCTGTATGCATTGTTATGTGCCTTGCTAATGTATTAGCACGCGCAAAGGCCCTGCTACAATACTGACAAATATAAGGTTTTTCTCCGCTATGAGTGCGCAAATGTAATTGTAAATAAGTGCTCTTTGTAAAAGCTCTACTACATACGTTACAAACGTATGGTTTAACTCCAGTATGTGTACGCATATGAGCAACTAAAGAACCACTCTGTGCAAAACACTTACTGCAGACTTCACAAAGAAATCTTTTTTGAGTTTCTTTCACCCGTTTATGACGTTCTATGTGATTCGCTAGTGATTGAGCTTGTGCAAATGATTTAGGGCAAATTGCACATTTATGAGGTCTATTGTGACGATCCTAAAATAACATTCAAATTTTAAATAGAAAAATTTTTAAATTTTAAACAGAAAAATTGTTTAATTTAATTTAATTTTCATAACTTACTTTCTTTTTTCCTTCTAAACAGTCTCCTTTATTTATATTGTCCATATCTTCTTTATCGTCCAAATCAGAATTTTCAAATAATTCAGCCTTATGTTTTGACTGTTCATGATCTTTTAATTTATCCACTCTTGAAAATCCTTTACCACACGTTTCACATGTATACTTTAATCCACTGTGTGTAGAAACATGCCTCTTAAGATTTCTCTTTGTTGCAAATAATTTTCCACATTGAGTGCATTGTAAACTTTCAGCTGGAAGATTCTCATCTTCCTCATCCTCTTCCTCTTCCTCTTCTTCGTTTTCTTCTTCTTCTTCAATAGTTTCTGTAGATCTTTCTTTTGTTGAACATTCGGAAGAATCGTCCAATTCTTCAAACTTATACTCTGGATGACTTTTAGCATGTGTGATAAAGGATTTTTGATATGTAAATTGCTTTGAACAAACTTCACAGGTAAATTTTAGGCTTTTTCGTTGTTCTTTAGAAGAATCATCAGTTTTTTGAATTTTTATTTTCTTATCCTGAAATATAACAATATAATTTATATTAGGTAATGCAATATAATTGCAATGATCTACAAAAACATAATATATTATTTCTTATTTCTTTTACTTACTTGAACATTACTAATTCTTTTATCTTGTACACTCGTTATTGCTTTATTTTGTTCATAATTAATTCTTTTATGTTGAATATTTTCTTTTCTATCATGAGCTTCATGACAAATTGCAACATGATTTTTTACTTTTGCAAGGGTAGAATATTGTTTATCACAAACATAACAAACGTAACGTAATTTAGTTTTACGTTTATGTACAATGGCATGTCTCTGCAAGGCCACTTTTGTACGAAAAGACTTAATACATTGTGTACAACGTAATCTAGTTGTGCGTGAAATTAATGGTTTTTCTTCATCATCTTGAATATTATCTATCTTTGATGTCTCTTCTATTTGTTGATTTTCTTCAATACTTTCTTCTTCCTTTAATGAAATATCTTTAGTTTGTATTATATGATCATCCAATAAAGTAAAGTCTTGTTTCATTGAACTGATTTGTCTTACAGAATCATCCTCTAATAAACTTTTATAAACATTTGCATCTTCTAGAGTCTTTCTTTGTTCTATATCATTTAATTCACTCTGTGATTCTTTTTCATAACAAAATAAATTTTTCTCTGAATTGAGACAAAAAGAAGTTCCATCTTTCGTAAAACAAAAATTATCAGAACAAAAATTTGTAGAACAAACTTCTTGCTTTTCTGTATTTTCTTTTTCAGAAGATATTACACTAGATATCACATCAGCAATTATTGCTGTAACTATACTGGCACTGCTAATAGAATTATTGGAAGATTTTAGCTTTAGAATTTGACGAAGCTTTTCATCTGAATTTTGTATTTGACATTTAAAATCATAGGATGCATCTAAACGCTGATTACAAGGCAAACAGATCACCGGTGGTAAACCATCTCCTTCTTCAACCTAAAATAACATACATATATTACTTTAATACTATTAGTATCTATAAATATATAAGTTTATAATATGTAACATAACTTCTAAAATTGCATTACATTATTGTATCAAAATTATAACTATTAATATTTAAGTCTATAAAAATAATAAATAAACACTATTTATAAAAACTTCTTTATTAATATATAAACAATCGGATAAAGCAAAACAATTGAAGAAATACAAAATAGTAAATTTAATTGCTTTATATTTCTTAGAATTTCAAAATTGTTCTTAAATGTTGTTGGTTTCAATTACTTGTTGTTGATATAGATCAGGTCCTAAAAATTTTTTTAAACGACATGAAAGATATACAAACATTAAAAATATATATAGAAAAAAGGAATAAAATTCAAAAAAATCTTTTAATATCATCGCAATTATTATCATCGCAAAAAATGATACAAACTAACCTGTACAGAAGCAACGGCCATAAGTTTTCGAGGAATAGTGTCCCCATTTCTAAAAAGTTCACAAATTTCAACAGCTCTTTTCAAACAGATTCGGCATTCATCTCCATAAATTTTCTCATATGTATCAGCTAATTGCTCATTTTTTAAAACTTCCATTTTAATGCATTTGGGAATCAAGCTGCGACTCCAACTCCCCTCCTAAAGAACCGAGGATGTTTTTAACATTTTTGTTCTTTGATGCATTTGTAATTGGGAGATGTTGTAAAGTTAATAATGGATATCGTATAAAATTTTAACAACTATGTACTTAAAAATTGATGTTAGACGTTTAACATCATAAAACGTAAATAAAGATATGATAACAAACATGATTCATACAACAATATAATAACATAAGCATATAATACAATACTATAGTTTATAACTTACGTTTATATTAAATTGAGTTTCGGAAGAAAGCAAATGAGTAATTATGACAAGATTATAAAAAAAACAAAAAATGTTATATTTTGAAAAATAGAAAAAAAAGACAATAAATTAGAGAATAAATTATTAAAATAACTTTGTTATTATTGCATTCTATTTTTATCATTGCAATAGCTCATTGTATTGCCTATTTTTAATGTTTTAATTTTTCTTCTTAACCTCTACATAAATTCAATATGAAAAATATTTTTATTAAACGTTAAAAATACATTTCGTTTTTTATGTTATTCACTGAACAACGTATTTGTTTATTATATAGATAAATACATATTGTTCAATAGTTATTTACAATTGTTAAAAATATATAAAAATACGCATATTTAGATTATATTTTAAATAAATGTCAATTTAGATATCGTGCAACACGCACATGCGCAATATATTGATAAATCCATGCAAATGCATATGTACATATTTAAACGTATTTGCGCATGTACATATACGTTTAAATAAAGTTTTTTAAAAGTAAAATAATCAAATAAAAAGAAAAACGTGCAAAAAAAGAAGAAGAAAAGAAAAGGATAGGGAAATAATTCTAGTTTTAAATACTTTCTGCCATGTTGTTGTTCGAATTTATTTCTCAAATTCAATTAACTTTACAATAGAGCATCTTAAATATAGACTTGTTTCAACAAAACATACAAATACACTATCTGTACACGTATCACAGAGTAAATACACTTGCATTTATTCATAGATTTTCTGACGACAATTGTAATACACTTTTCACAAACAAAATTTAATTACATGTTCGATTGATTTTCTTTTCCTTTTTTCCCTCTAAGCTTTTCAAATTTCTCAAACTTTTTTTCAATTTGAGATTAAAATAAGAAATCACTTTTGACAAGCAAATTATATTTTGCTAGTTATGGCTATTTTATTTTCATCAGTATCATTTAATATCATTCGTTTAAACATAATTTAAAAACATTTCTTTTATTGAAATAACATTCCATTATATATAAATTGTGTTAAATAAGCATATTAGAGAAAGATTAAATTCTCAGATTGTAATATCATTTTAACTTTACGCGGCTAAAAAAACTTTATGCAAAATTGTTGTCGAATTCATCACTGTCTTTCAGTTCTATTAATTAATTCAGTTCTATTAATTAATTCAGTTCTATTAAATAATTTTTAGGAACAAAATTAATCAATTCCCTACATTTCCATATAATTAT